TTTCGGATGTCTACGAGGCCCTACCAGTATGATCCCCTACAAAAAGCCGGTGGAGGTAGACTTGAAAACCCTTTATAAAATGAAGCCGAAAAAGAGCTAAAATAGTCGCCATGCCGTTTTCTTACAGCAACCCTGCGCGGTGAAGACGCTTTCGGTGAAAATATGGACGCCCTACAACGGAGTGAATTCTATTCGAAGCCAATCAGATGAAGGAGTCAATCACGTGGGAAACCCTGACCTGAAATACCGACTTTTTAGCCGAATGTAGTCGCCTTTACGGCGGTGACGACGGACGAGCCGATGCTGTCGTCATGGAGTCTTGCCGGCGCCAGCTTACAGGGAAAAATCGAGAAAGCAAAGAGGTGAGAAAATACATTTGAACCCGAAAATCTCTAGCAAAACCGAGATCGTGCGACTGAACTGGATCCACGACGCGGCGAAGGGGATGCAGTGTTTGGAGGAGCATGGTGTGCTTCATCGGTAGGCTTTACTCAAGAACCCTAATTATTAGTTCTTTTTGCTGTTTATTTCTATTTGAAGTGGAAAACTAGTAAAACTGCTAAGGTTTTGAGATTTTGCGGCAAAATGTTGCGGCAATTTTTACAGCTTTTTAAATTTTTGTAGTTTAGGATAAGTAAAAAATGCGGATTTCCTGAATACTAAAGAACGCTTTTTAGCGACGTGGCAGCCCGAAATTTCTGCTCGACCGCGAGGGCGTCCACGTGAAGCGCGTCCGATTTGGGCTGTCGATGCCCGCGGTGCCAAGGTGGACCCCAAGAAGAACGCCTTGCCGTTGAGGTTTATCGATTTTCTTTATTCTCGATCCCCTGCGCAGATATTGGCCACCGGAAGTGCTGAAGAGCTACAGCAAAGCGCAGCCGCACTTGACCACAAGGCCGACGTCTGGAGCTTTGGCGTCATGGTCACCGAGGTCAGGAATTGAAGCCTGCGCCGGGAAAATATATTTGTATGTTCAGCTGCACCCTGCGGGAAGCGCCCGTTCGAGATCCTCGAGGACAAAATCCCGGACGTGCGCTTCCAGGCGCTGATCAAAAGACGAAAAAGACTGCTGGGTGCGGTTGAAAACTAACCCTATTTTAAAGTAATTTAAACCATCAGGCTGATGATAAGTTCTGTCACAATTCTTGAAATCGCTCGTTAAAATCGCAGATGTTCCTCGATTCGGGAGCGACGAGGTATGGGTTAGTCGGTCTCCCACACACTTCTATCTCTATGAGGACCCATCAGCTGACCCAAAAATTGAGGGACGTCGAGATCCAGGCCCGAGAAGATTTTCGTAAAATTGAGCGAAAGTGTTTTTTAAAGTTATCTCCCGTGACAGTGATTTAGCACGCAGATAGTTTTATTTATCGCAAATGATAGCTCTCGAGGAGTAAAGTTGTCGATAGATGTTGAGATCATCAGAACTGAACAGCCGGAAGCCGAGACCATGATCGCCCGAGCAATGCTTAGCATCTTTTCTGCAAATCCCATTACGGCTCGGTCAAAGGCGCCTCGTCTCTTTGGAAATCAAGCTTGAGTCAGCCTCGGCCAGCGGGCTCATCAAGTGGGCGGGATTTGAAAAAGTTCGAAAGAAATGGGCCAAATTTCAAGGGGTCGTATCTCGGCCATCCGGATGTCCAATTTGACGATTCTAACATCTCATCGATATCTACTCCTCGAGAGCTTACCGATTTGCGTTAAAGGTATCGCATGCAAATTCGCTCTATGCAGAGATAGCTTGGTAAAATCGGTTTGGTACGTTTTTGCGGAAAACTTCTCGAAGCTCTTATCTCGGCGACTCTCACTTTTGGGTGCGAGTAGGGCCCACCCAAAGGTAGAGCTCAGGGGAGGATACCCGTCAGACCACACATCCCACTAGTAACTTGGGCACGTCTGCAGCTTTAACAAGCGATTCCAAAAAAATTGCGACAGAACTCTATCATCCAACCTGATAGTTAGATTTAGTTTAAAATCGATTCGCTACAGAAAACTCACCCGCTGCTGATCTCGACGCGCGGCGACCCGGAGAAGATTGCAGCATCGGTGTTTCTGAATATGACCCCAAGCGATCGGCCGACATTTGCCGAATTGGTCCAACCGCCGCCGAGGTGCGCTTTTCTCTTATTAGGTGGTCCGGAAAGCCGAACACCAAAGCATTTTTTATCGCCTAAAAAACCGCGTGATACATCCGCTATTTTTTTTTGGTCCTCTAAAACGTAATATCTATTTTTTTGATTGCCTTGAAACTAAATTAAGCTAAAAACGCCGTTTGTTCAGCTCCTCTGATGTCGCTCGTTCATGCGTGCTTCGATGAAGCCAAAAGAGCCTTCGCCGCCGTAACTGATCGACCGGTTCCTCGAATCCGACCCATAATTCCAGAATTAGCTTCCCAATTAAATCTTTAAAATATTAACGCGTACCGCCATCCATATAAATGTCCCGAATTTTGTCGTTGTTAGTGAATTGATCAATTGTTCAAATTGTCAAAATAACACTATGGAGCTTTTGGTTGCGGGAAGGCGCACGGCAATCGCGCAACATTTATTGGAGGGCGGGTTAATGAATGAGACGGCATAGCAGAGATCACAGACGCGACGGAATAATTGTCATTTTGTGAGGGGTTAGGCAAACAGGTTTTGAAAGAGCATTCCAAGAAAAAGGAACAAAAAGTTATAATTTGACGATTTTCGATAGTCCAACGAGGCTGGCTCCCAGTCAGGGTGACAGCACGGCGGATGGCCATCGTCGTCAGGTGCGTTGGCCCTGAATGATTACAAAATTTACACAATTGATGGATCTTTGGCATTATCGGGGGAGAGTGCGAATTTTTGCTGCCCATAGAAATGCACAGTAACGCAATATATAGCTTTAATACAGGGTGTCCCAAATAGAGATGTTATTATTCAACTAAGATATGCAAGCAACTCAACGTTTCGCACTCACAGGTTCGCCGAATGCCAAATTTCCTTATTCAATTCCGATTAGCTTAACCAAATCAGCAAAATCTTATTCAGATAGGCGCGTTTTAGTCGAATTAACCGAGTTTAGTCGAATAACATGCTAATGAGGATTTTAACGAGGAATGGCTATGAAAAAAATGGAAATACGCGGAAATTCTGTTGATGGAAATCTTGCTTTGCCATATTTTGAGCAAGCTAAAAGTCAGGACTGAGACTTATTCGGCTAAGATTCGACTAATTCAACCTACATGCGGAACCTCACGCGGACAGGGTGGAATTTCGAAAAACGCTCGCGGCATTTACCCCTAGAATAATCGGCCACGTTGATCTCGATGCGCTTGTCAGATTTTTTTCTGAGCGCACCTGTGGACCGGGAACCGGCACTTCCGGAAAATGCTGTTTTACATGCAAAAAATTATCAGGATGGTTGCTTTTTGAGGCATTCACATCGCTATGGAATCACCAGTTGAATGGCCGAGTGGCGAGCGGCTCGCTTGATAGGATACTGACGAGGGTACGGATCCGCTCACGGTTTTTGCTTTTGCTTTTTACCTTTGAGATTTTTGTGGATCTCGAAAACTATAAGTGATGGAACAATTCTTAAGTTTATGACAATTGTGCGCTCCGGCGACATCTCAAAAATGGATTCTGACAAATTAAAAATTTTTAAGCACCGACGTAACGTATTAGAATATCTGACCCCAGGCTGATTTTTCATTTCCAATTTTTTTACCTACACTGGCTATACATGGAATATAACGCAAAATAGGGTTTTTGGCTACCAGAAGCAATGCTTTTTGGACTTGTACAAAAAGCATGACCAAAAAAGCAAAGCGCAAAAACAAATGAGCGGATCCATGCCCTCGTCAGTATCCTATCAAAAAATGACGCTTTTTACTCGGCCATTCAACTGGTGATTCCATAGCGATGAAGGAATGCCTCATAAACCATCCTCTATGCTAATTTTTGTACGCAAAACAGCGTTTTCCTTTAGTGCCCCTTCTCTGTATCCCACAAAGGTACGTTCAGGAAAAGTCAGGCAAGCGCATGCCCGGTCGCAATGGCGCAGTTACCTAGCTGAGGTAGCCGCAGGCGTTTTCCGAGAAATTCACCCCTGTCCGGGTGAGGTCCCTTGTAAGCTCAGTCGAATTACGGATTCCTTATTCAGATTCGGATGTCCGTAATCGATTAAAGAATGCTTATTTGAATATGAATAAGCCGAATCGACTTAGTTGAATTTCCGGTTTAGTCGTATCTGAATAAAAACATCTCTAGTCCCAAACCCTCTAGAGGCCGTCAATCGGATCGGATCGGAATGATTTTTATACCAATCGAAAGTTCTCGGAAAGGCGAGAAAACAAGCGGTTTCGTTTTCTAAGATTTAATCTGATTCTATCAATATTTCAGGTTTTTCCTAAAAAAGCCGAGAATTTTTTCAGGAATTTCGCAATTAGCATGCAGATCTCGCATAAATCAGCAGTTTTTCATGGTTTTGGACATAAAATTAGCAAATAAAAAGGCTTAATTAAGAAATTCAACCCTCCTTGTTTTCTCGCCTTTTCGAGAGCTTTCGATAGATACCTAAATCGTAAAAATCGGAATCGACTGCGGACCGCTAGGTAGGGGGTTTTTGGGACACCCTGTAGTGTTCTTAGTAAAAGAACTATCTTCCAAGCAGAAAAACTATCTAAATAACTTCAAAACAAACTGCTTTAGAAAGGCCATTTTGTCGCAAAAAATCCATATTTTTGCGTTTTTTTAATAAAATTTGGAGTTTTTACGTTTAGAAATAGTTAAAAAACACTTCCCCTATTTAGATTAGAAAATTAGGCCCTAAGGAACAAATCTGCTTGATCGAACACACCTTGATTTCCCTGAAGTACAGAATGCTCCACAACGACGCGACGCAGCCGGGCAGGGTGGTGATGATCGGGAACGTGACCGCCTGAACACTAAAATTATAGGAAGATGATAAATCCACCTGTGACAGGTTGTCATTCGCGATGAAGAATGATGATTGCGCGATCGCCCACATCAGTCCGCCGGCAAAGAGGGCAGCGTGATTTCCGGGTTGATTATTGGCTTGTTTTTCCTGGAATTATGGATTTAGGACCTTTTGCAATATCGGGAGGGGGCAATATGCCTAAATTCCGGCCACCTTCATAGTAAGTGTTTGATAGTTTTTAGTAAAATTCAATTGCATTTCAAGCGGAAAACTATTTAAAAAACTTAGAAATACATTTTTTCAGTAGAAATAGGCATTTTTGTCGGAAAATCAATATTTTTCCGTGTTTTAACCAAAATTTGTAAAGGTTGCATACTTAGTAAAACAGTAAACAAGAGCGTAAAAAACATGTTACTCACTTGAAAATCGCGTATCCGAGAAACAGTGCAGTGCCAGAGATGAAGATTCCAAAATAGTGCGAGAAGACGTAGCTCAGCCCGTCAACAGGAGCCCCCGGGAACTTGTCCAGGTTGTCTTGCATGTAGATCACTGGCACGAACGTCAGCCCGTAGAAGCAGCCGGAGATTAGAGCAAGGACGATGCCACTGAAATCCAAACCGGATTAAATTTTAATTTTATAAAGCCTAATCGTGAGAAGAAAAAAACGTACAGGCCACGGCCAGATGCCTTTCGCTTTGCCTCAACGCCTTCGATGGTCGTATCTTCGGCCGTTTATCCTTTCCGCTTTCCTCATCGTCCGATCCATCGCCGACATTCAGCTTCTCGCACTCGCCGTTCGTCTAAAATCAGGTTGTAAAAAGCCGGAAACCACATGGCAAAAAGCTTCAATGGCACAGCAAAATAAAAAACAGGCAAGAAAGTTCTTTGGATATTACCAGGGCTACCACGTTTTCCAGTTGATGATCATCCTGCTTTAAAACAAAGATTGATTTTACGTTTTTAAGGTCACGTTAAACTTCATTAAAAACCTACAAGATGAAGCGTGATCCGTTTGCCAGCCGTGTCGTCTTCCGTCTCATCAGCGTTGCCTTTTACACGCGAGAAGAGGAAGCCACTAGTAAATAAGATATGGTGTAAATTCTAAGCGAAATCGCAATAATGATAAAAAACCAACCCCGTGAGCACCAGTGCGAGCCCCAAATAGTTGAGAATCGATGAAGCCGGTGGGTGCGCCTGCATGCCGAACAGACCGAAGCTAAAAACATATTTAGATGCAGACCAAGCACTCACCGACCGCCGGCCCATCCGACCAGACAGTTCGTGGTATTCCAGAGGAGAATGGAGAGTGCCATGCCGAGTCTCGAGATGATCGGGATGGCCAGAGAGTTGCCGAGGGCCCATGAGAGGCCTCCTAACATGGCTAGCGGGTAGAAGCCGGGGAACGAGCGGAGACCCCAGCAGATCCAGCCAACCAACACGATCGCGCCCGACATCACCCATTGCACGAAGAGGCCTGAAAAAAAAAGAGTTGTTAAAATTTGTTGGTATTCCGTCCATTTTCCCTAAATTTTTTGCTGCTTTTAGGCTCCATAATTAACCCATATCTATCTAGTAAAAAGATGTGGTGCATTTTAATAGTGCTTTTAGTAGTTTTCGATGACTAAAACATATAAAATGTTGAAAATTGAAGTTTTTATTCATTTTTAGCTGCCTTCCATTGCAAGGAAGAGATAAAGAAATGCCGTGTAAACTTTAATAGTCGTAATTCCGCTAACACAAATTCTTCCTTACGTGATAACGAATTTTTTACGTTTTTGAAAAGCTATTTTGAACGCAAGGTGATATAAGCTATAACGACCGGTCGTAAATGGCCTAAATTTCAGACCCAAATCCTTTAAAAAAAACCGATAAAAAACCCACCATCGCCAGCATCAAACTTCTTGATCGGGACGAACATGGAGCCGAAGAAGAGCACCGAGACGCCGCAAGCGCCCAGCCCCATCAGGGCCGACATCTTGGCCCGTTCGCTGAAAATAGATGCGATTGAATTGAAACTAAATGGAACAATTTTAAAAAGCTATAGAAAATCTGGAAAACATTGTGATTTGGGAATTGGGGTCCCCGCTAAATTCTAGACAATCACCGGGTACTGTCCAGCACGTGCAGACCCCCGGCCCACGATGGATTAGCATAAATCGACGTGGATTCGTGGGGTCTGGCAAACATAAAACCGAGCTTCCGAGGCTTTTCGCTGGGAGCTGGAGGCCACAGAAACAACAGTGCACGGAAGCATTAGCCCAAAAGTGAGAGATAAGAGGCGGCAACATATAGGAGGCGTGGAGCTCGGCTTTCTACATTTTTTGAGGAAAGGAAGCGTTTCTAAAGCTTTATGTCGCTTTTTTATTTTTCTTCAATGCTTAAAACATCTTACAAAACATGACAATTTGAAAATTCTTGCTACGCGTTGAGTTTTGCGTTCCACTCGATGCTGAAAACTACTTTTAACATCAAAATACATTCTCAAAGCCCAAATAATTTTCGTTTGTGAAAAAACTGATCGGAACTTTCAAATTTTAGGTCGTTTCATGTTTCAGAAATTGAAATTACTTCTTTTTAATCCGCTGTTTAAGACTTTTAATTCAAAACAAGCCTAAAAATATGGTACAAAACAAAGAGCCTTGAATCAGTACAGCGCAAATAAGGGATTTGCGTGGAACGGCTGGGTTCATGGCGTGGGGGTGTAAAAAGAATATGCGGGCTCTCCGGGAACGGATAGTGGTCAGCCAGCCAGCCGGCTGGCTGCCGACCTGCGTCCCTATTATCTCTATCCGGTCCCCGGCTTCGTCTCTCTCATTCCCTAGTCCCTCTTGCTCTCCTCTTAGCCTTTTTCTCCATCCCAATCCTGAAAGGAAGAAGATCGATGTGACACCATGGAGAGGCACCATTGTACCAGCGTATACGTATTCGCTGTATACAGGTTCATGGATACCTCACTTAGAAATGCTATACAGAATCTTTTAAAAGCTCCAGAATGACAGAAAATAGCTTTAAAACTCTCAAAAGTGTCCTAGAAAATTCAGATAACTTTATTTTACAAACTGTTTTTACCTATCGCATTTCTGAACCTTTTTTTACTTTTAAACTGTGTTAAACTATGGAAAAAATATCGCAATTTCTAAAAACTGTTTATGTTTTTTTCATATTCGGCGCGAATTTTTGAATTCTTTTCACTATTTTACTACTTTATTTTTTACTTTTAAAATCAACTCTAAATTAT